ATATATACACCCATGCTATATATATCCATGAAGAACAAATTTAATGAAAGTGACTTTGAATCTATCTAGTTTCTCACAAAGAGCACAGCTCATTATATTCTGAGGGGCTCGAGGAAAGGATCTCCTTGATAGCGTTCAAACAAAATGCCAACCAAAGAGGAACTCTGAAACTGCCACAGGGTAAGCTACACGGTTTTGTAATAAAACGGCCATCCTGAATGGGAGAATCCGAATCGCTGATGAGTTTCCAACTGTGCGGGCATCCGATATAATCCTGTAGGATCAGGACTGTTAAGTAATTGTCACAAAAATGGAAAAAAAAGACACACGCTGAAGTCGTAGTGCACTTTGAAATGTCCAAGGAAAACAGATCCCGCAGGTCACAGATACAGCGCGATGCAACTTTACAGACACATGCACATGCACACATGAGACCAGTGGACCCGCCGCTGAGAGTGAAGGTATCTTGGGGGGCAATGTGACAGCTTCTCAAACAGCAGACAGCACTGCCAGACTGGAACAGTTTGTAGCAGGAAGCAAAACAGGGTGTCTCCAGGTAAAAATACAGAGGATTGAGAAGGGAATAAAAGTGAAGAAATAAAACAACCCCCCTCCCCAAGCTTTCGGCTTCCTGTCCTACCCTTAATGAAGAGGCTAAAACCCGTGTGTGGCTGGGGAAGGCCACATGACAAGGGGGGGCGGGGCTTTAAGGTATATAAGCCCAGGGCGTGAGCCAGAGCAGGCATTGCAGACTGCAGGGAGACAAGCTCCCCCAGGACAGCCGACCGCAGCGCCCAGGGATGCCCGAGGTACACGAGGGTGAGAGTGAGCCTAGCACAGGGAGCCGCAGCTTGTAGTAGGGAATCGCCTGGCAGTGGGGAAATACTCTGTGGAAGCAGAGCGCTTATATTTCTGCTGTGTGGGTGCTTGTGTTTGCTGAGAACCGGAGGACCAGATGTGGCCGACGGGAGGCTGCAAAGGCACCCATCACAGAGCCTGTGGGCCAGAAGCACAAATGCTTTAGAGGGAGGCTGAACAGAGAGCAGCCTTTCCTGGGTCAGGGATGCCAGGGGCCCTTGCCTGAACTGCAAGTAGTCTTGCTCTGGGTCAGGGATGCTGGGGAGA